TTGTAAGAGTTACTGTTTGAGGAGTTGAATGTTTTTGTTTAATTTTATTATTTGATTATTATTGTTTGAAATGATTATTTTTTGCAAATAGGGGCAGATAGATTTTTTCTTCTTCTGCTATGTTTCATTTTATTTGATTTGTATTGTTTTGTTGTAATGTGCTTTTTTTTAAGGGGACCTATTATACAAAATTCACTTTTTAAAGTTTTTTTTAAACTCAACTTTGGGTATGTACTTCTTAAAAAATAAAACAGTCCTAGGACCAAAAAATGCACCCAGGGGTATATTTACTCTAAGTAAATGTATTTTTCATGTATATTAATGTCAAGTTTTCAAATCCCRCGGCCTGTGATGTCACAGGCCGGACTCAGCCCACCCCAACCTGAGCCCAACTTATCTCCTGGTAACCCAAGCAGAGACTCCGCCCACTTCTTCAAAGGACGGTCGCGGCCGCCAGTGGACTGTTTCTCGGGGGACAATTTCCCTCGCAGTACCGCTTTGTGTGTTAGCATGCTAATGTTATTGTTGAGCAGCTTGTTGCAGCGGCGGGTGCCAATTCTGCTGCTTATAACTGACGTTAAAAAAACATCCCGTTTTCGCCATCGCTGACTGTAATAAACACATCTTCAGTGACGTGCAAGGTTAGATTAAACACGCAATGTTAATACGGAGACGTGGAGACGCATGGAGACTTTAACGTGCTTACATTATGAAAAGCCCGGGGAAAGTAGTTTTGTAGAATAGAATCGAATAGAATAGAAATAGCCTTTATTGTCCCACAGCGGGGAAATTCAGGTGTTACAGCGGCATCAGTAAGGTTCACACACTAGTTACTTTACAAACTATAGATAGTACACACAAAACAAATTAACACTTACTAGCCATGATACAACTACTAATAATAAAAATAAAAATTGGGGAGTAGCAGAGTTGAGTTGGTGTGCAAGGTGAGTCGTGCTGTTAATCTTTATTAAATAACATAAAACAAATGAATAAATTAAAAAAAAACAAAGAATAGAAGTTGAGGGAAAGATGAAAGAGGAGAAAGAAGTCAAAGGCTGGACTTTACCTTTGCTAACTCCTAATGAGCTGAGAGAAACTGCTGARGCGGCTCACCGCAGGCAGGATTTCACACATCCACAACACTTCTCCATCCTCTCCTCCGTCCTTGYTTCCTTAACTCCTACAGTTTGATGAACGCTGACACACCTGCCTCGGCTCCCTTATCAGTCACTCACCATATTTGTCATAACCTTTCCAGCTCCTGTTCGCTCAATCCGCTCGACTTCTCTCCACTCTTTCATCTTCTTTTTCTTTCCATTTCCTCCCTCTGTATCTCTGTCTTTCTCCATCTTTCCCAGCAGACATTTAGCAATTCCCTAAGCTGCAAACTGGGCTGCCTTTCAAGCCTCGTTTCAAAACGTGTCTGTCTCCTTCTCTGCTTACTCTATTTACCGATTCAACCCACACTCGGCGTGAACRGGCCTGCTCGCTGTGAGTCGAGAAGAAAAGCAGCAATGCACATTTCAGAGTTAAATGGGATTATTTAGCATCCGCTTTTATCCTTTCTCTCCCGTCCTTCTCTGGCGCTGCACTTACAGCCTTTTTGTGGAATCAAAGTGCTCGGAGGGAAACCGAGAGGTAAGGAATACCAAAAAAGAAAAAAGAGAAGAGGGCTAGTTGCTGTTAGATTTGTGGGACTGCGGCTGAAAGTCGAACTGGGGTTGAAACGTATCGTTGGCTTCAGTCAATCTGTGTTTCTGTCGTTCTCTCTCTGTGGCAGAGGCTTGGTAATTGGCTTGCTGCAAGCATCCCAGAGGTAAGCAGGAGCCAAATCGGTATTCACACGAGTGAAGCTGCGGCCGCTCACTGTTTCTCTCCTGCTCTTTCACATTCTCTTCATCGCCTGCACCAAATCCCTTCCCTTCTGATAGGAAGGCAGGCAGCTTCAAGTTCCAAACAGGGAACAAAAAAGGCATAAAAATCTTACAAGTAGAAACTATATTTTATATTTAGTACGACAGAAAACACTGACATCTACAGCGGGTAAAATAAGTATTGAACACGTCAAAATTTTTCTCAGTAAATATATTACTAGAGGTGCTAATGACATGAAATT